ACATCACAACTGGATGTACAGCTTTTTTTAGGGTACTATGAAAGTTACCTGTTGCTTCATAACAAATTACCACAAAATTTAGTGGTAACTTTGGTCCTCAAGGTTTGTTGGACTGAGGGCCTCAGTTTCTTGCTGGCTGTTGGCAGAAGCTCCCCTCAGACCTTTGCCAGTGGGCCTCTCCACTGGGCAACTGGCAACCTGCATGAGCAGAGGAAGTCCACAAGAAGAAAGTGTAGAGAAGTCTAAACTTCCCTTCTGAAGTTTTGATAACTGAGTCTGCTGAAATAAACCGACAGTAGACAGAATAATAGGAAAAAAGCATGCATATTTTTTCCTTTTATTTTATCATATTATGGGGGTACAAATATTGTTAGGGTTACATATATTGCCCCTGCCATTCCTCCTCCTGCCCCCCCTTACCAAAACATCTAACATGTCCTACCCCCAAGTGGTGCACATCACATGCATATTTAAGACAAGCACATGTGCACCAGAGCCACACAAAATATGAGACTTAGAGAAGGGCCAGATGACTGAAACTTAAATACCCTTTTCATAGAAGAGTTGTAGGTGAGGCATGCAGGGAATTGTAGAGGAAGAGTAAATGATTTTCAGAGAGAAGACAAATGGCCCTGAAGAACAGACAATAGCCTGGGATAAAGTTCTTCTGGGCTCTGGGTCTGGTGTCAACTCCAGTAGGGCACCAATTTCCCTTGGTCAGTGAGAAGGAACTGGAGAAGGAGAAGGAATCTGGAGAAGGAATTCACAACAACTGAATATCTTCTGGAGGATTGGACCTTTAGGTAGACAGGGGAACTTTAGAGAAAGCTCTTCTCTGCATTTGCTGCTCCCCAGATGCTCTCAGTTTGAAGTCCAAAGTGGCATAGTTTGATGTGTCTTTTTCTGAGCCCCAAGTAGAGACAGAGACAGCAAGCCAAAAACATGAAAGTCACTGTCTTTTATAACCTAATCTCAGAGGTGACATCCTATCACTTTGTAATACTGTATCATTAAAGGCAAGTCACTAGGTCCAGTTCACACTCAGGGGGAGGGACTCGCACAAGGGCATAAGTAGCAGGAGCCAGTGACCAGTAGCGATCACAGGCAAGGGCCACAAGCACTGTCGTGCCATAGCCAGTTCACAAGACAGTACTGAGCACATTGAGTGTTTAATATGAACTTGCAGAATTGAATCAATTGTCAGCAATCTCTATGTCACATATAATCATACTGCATCAAAACCCCTAGTAAATTCAGAATGATCTGATCTTCCAGAATAACTTCTTAAACCATGGTGTATGTCAACATAAAAAAAATGTGAAAATATAAACCAGATTGTATAATGACTAGCTGAGTGAACTCTCATTTGTGTTTTCCATCTTCATATATTAAGAAATGAATACCTGGGTTCTAGCCATTTAGATATCCATTCCCCCATAGAGGTTTGAAACCTTGTTTTCTAAACTTATATCTGCAAACAAGTGCTATATCAAAGTGCATGTTTAAATCCTTTTTTAATTAAATTTATTTAGTTATTTGTTTTGAGACAGTCTTACTCTCTTGCCTGGGCTAGAGTGCATGGCGTCAGCCTAGCTCACAGCAACCTCAAACTCCTGGGCTCAAGGTATCCTCCTGCCTCAGCCTCCTGGGTAGCTAGGACTACAGGCACATGCCACCATGTCTGGCTAATTTTTTTCTATTTTTAGTTGTCTGGCTAATTTCTTTCTATTTATAGTAGAGACGGGGTCTCACTCTTGCTCAGGCTGGTCTCAAACTCCTGAACTCAATCGATCCTCCCACCTTGGTCTCCCAAAGTGCTAGGATTACAAGCATAAGCTACTGCACCCGGCCTAAATTTAATTTGTAATTCACAGATAATTATAATATTATATATTTATGGGGTACAATGGACACCTGTTAGAGAGGCTTCTATCAAAAAGATCAAAGATAATAAATATTGGGTGGGTGTGGAGAAAAGGGAACGCTTGTGCCTTTAGTGGAAATGAAAATTAATACAGCCATTATGGAAAACAGTATATCCTTTTTCTTTAAAGTATAACTTACCGCTACTCACTCAGTTTCTGTCATTTTAACCATATTCTTTTCAGTTCTTCGGGTTTATTTTTCTTCATCATATTTAAAGACTGTTTGGGGGAATTAGGTAACACACATATGGTTGTATGTTCTTGCTTTGGCTTAGTTGTCAAGCCACATTTTAAAATATAGTTCTCAGCTCTCTTTAGTATAAGGGATTAAGGGGGAATATATATATGTACACACACACACACACACACAAACATAGACTCATTTTAGAATTGGAATTTGCTTTGCTTTTCTGCATTTGCAAGGCCATCTTAGTTCTCTCCCTCGAATTCATGTGAATCCTTCACGATGACTAACATTTCTTATTCCTTAGCAGCTTCGACAAAGCACAGGGCACAATCCAAGACAGAAATGAATATTTAGCACAGAAATGGGAACTGATAAATATGCTTTCATTTTACTTTGCCTACATTTACAAATGAATATACAGACCTCAGAAATATAAACTTATATTAGAACATATATATCCTCCTTTAAAATTTGAAAAGAATAAAATAACTTTACTCTTTTTCCTAAAAATAAGTTCTATGTTTGCTGTCCTAGAATCTGCTGAAAAACATCTTTTTCTCTTGAAAGTTTTATTTGAAAAAGAAAGAAGAAACATTTTGTTACCCTGAAGACTTAGGGTAAAAGAAGCGGTATAACTAAGCACAAATGGATTAACTGAGTACTATACAAACCCCAAAGAGCGTATTACAAGTTGAAGAGGATACAGTACCAATTATACCATTATCTCACCCTACTCTCTGGGTGAATAGTCTGAAAGCCTAAAATTACAGTTGATGTTAAATTTCTTGGCTTCATTTGCAAATTAGAGTCATTTTCTTTTTTTGTGTGAATGCCATAAACACATGTTTTATTGTTTAAGAGTAGCAGTCTTTATAGTTTGTTATGATATTTTTCTCCTTTTTGTCCCTCATGTCAAAGGGCCTTTAAGAAAAAAAAAAAATTGCATTGTTGCAAATTGGCATAACATTGTGTTTCTGAGTGATTTGCAATGGTCTTAAGTACCATTTGTGCTGAGTCTTTTTGGCACGTCATTTGTTAGGAGACCAGTTCTGGAGAAGGCCCTTCAACTGGCCAGATGTGCCATTTTGGAACAGATTGAGGGCCTGCCAAAACACCATTTGTTGCCAATACCGGATATTGTAGGGGTGCTCATCACCCTGTTACCATATTTTTGCACTTCTTAACATTGCATAAATAGGCAGCTGTTCTGTATTTAGAATATAAATGAGTCACCAGCTTGCTCTCCCTAGAGGTTTTACCTGCAAGAGGGAACCACAGTGTTAACTCCTTCTCATCACTTGCATGAATGTCACACTTAACTGCACACTTCCTTCAGCTCACTCAGAAGCAAATCCTTATGCATATAAATCACACCTTTCTTGCCAGTTAGACAAGGGGACCAAAAATGTGCAGTTCATAGTGCTAAAATGGAACACATTTCCTTAGCAGTGAAAGCACTAAATTAATCAGCTTATAAGCTGAGAGTGAACAATTTGTGCTGAATTCTTTCCTACCACTCTTCAATAAGAGTTGAGGTTCTCTAATCTCATAAAGGGCCATGACTTCATTAAGATGGAAAACTGTGTTAAAGGATGTGTTGCAAGAGACAAGAAAAAGAAAAAAAAAGCCCTAAAATTCACTCAGTTGCTTCCCTGGAGCTATTTGGAAGACAGGGATTTTTATTTATTTGGAGAATGACAATTAACCTAGAGACTTGGCACAACAAAGAAGCAGAGTGCTGAAGTGGGTCTCATTACAGGACACGGAAAGGCAGTTGGTTTGACCTAATCTCCATTTGCAGCATGTGATTTACATAACAGGCTAGCACAAGCTGCCTAATGTTGATTTCAAACAGCTTGATGTGTGTGTGCGTGCATGCATGCATGTGTGTGTGTAGGTTTGTTTTACTCCTGAGAACTTTGGAACTAAACTTGTCTGGGTTGGAATGTCAAAGAGTAAGAAAAGTGAAGGTAACTAGGAAAAGCAGAGGCAGCTGTGGTATATGGTACATTTGCTGGTCTCAACATTTTGTGAATGTTGCCATAGTCCTTATTTACCAAATAAAACCCAGCATTCTATAATCTGATAGGGCTGTGCCACTTCTCCAGGCTTTTGATTTTGCCAGCAGCAGAGAAACACAGGCAGATAGATAGGTGACATTTGGAGAGCCAGGCATGCCAGATTTTTGGTAGTTACTACGGAGGTCCAACCTGCTGTTCTCCTTAATGAAAGGAGGGGAAATTCAGACTGGCAAAACTGCTACTAGGGATATCTCTGCCCTGAATGTCACGCTGCCCAGATGTCACTCGGCAGGTGGAGATGCAAAGGGAGTGAAAATGAAGCCCTGTGTATGTGGGTGCTAGTGCATTGCGAGGGTGAACAATGAGTCTGTCTTCTGAAGTGTAATGAAAACAGTGTGGATCGTGTCCATGTTCATGTCATGAGAAAGGACTTTATCAAAGAGTTCTCATCCCACTTCCCCTCACAGACTGACAGCATGCAAGTTCACAAACCAAGTGCATGTGTGCATATGATTTTCTTTGTAGAAAATATAATCATACTACATAAAGAGTTCTGTGCTTTTTAAATTAAATCTCAGAACTATATGATGACTATTTCTCTTCTTCTTTTCCTTAGCCTTATCTCATTTTTTAAATCAGATTTTTGAGCAAAGGTACATGTTCATTTAGTCAGCCATTCCCATCCCCCTGTTGGTGAGCATTTAGGTTAACCCTAGAATATTTTAAGATGGATGTGGCTATGTTCTCAGTAAATATCCGGGCAATTTTCACTAGAACAAAGTAAGCAGGACTTGAAGTTAACTTTAGTAACAAAGAGCTAAAGTTGCCATCATTGAATTTACTTTCGCTGTAATTATTTTTCCTCAGTGTTACGAGATGACTTCCGGCAAAACCCCACAGATGTTGTAGTGGCAGCTGGAGAGCCTGCAATCCTGGAGTGCCAACCTCCCCGGGGACACCCAGAACCTACCATCTACTGGAAAAAAGACAAAGTTCGAATTGATGACAAGGAAGAAAGAATAAGTGTGAGTTAAATTAAAGTGATAGCCTAGAGAAATTGAAGATTTAAGTCTTAAAACATATGTATTTTATTCTTTAATTTATTGTTAATAAATTGTATCTGAATGCTATTACAATGTACACCGTAATGAAAACACTTAAAAACAAAAACTTTGGGATGAAGCTATAAACAGACAAAAATTATATACGAATGTATGTGATATGTTAAGAATTGCACCAATCTGAATATGGAAATGATATCTTTACGATACAATATTAATGTCTTAGGTCTTTTTTAAGATCTCCAAAATCTTCTATTGATCATGAAGTACATCAGTGTTAAAGTGTAAATGATATCTGTACTACATATTAACTACATCTAATTTTGTACTATTTTTAAAATTATCAGAGGAAATAATTTAAAGTGATGAACATCTTAAACACCTTTTCCAGTTTTCTAATTAGATAATATTTATAACAGAAAATTTTATACATGAATTAATTTAATAGCAAATTTAATATACGAAATAAAATCAAAATAAAAATGACTGATTTTGCATGTTAATCATGTAGAAAAATACTCTGTTTTCAAAGGAAATTGGTGATCATGTTCATTAGTTGATTAAGATTTGAAAAGAAACATCCAGAAACAGGCAAATGACATCAGTTTATTTTTTCAGAGGATCCACACATTGGTATGTGAAGTTTCTTAGGGAGAATCAGTCCACTGAAATAATATACATAATACCTCCACCTTCTGATGTTTAGTAGTATAATTTTTATATGCAGTATAACAGAATGAATGTATTTTATTGAAGAAAATGTCCCATTTGAATAAATGTGTCATTTCAATCAAAAGTTTATATAATCTTGGTATCTATTATCTTCAAAATATCTATATTATAAATGAAGAATTTTCTTGTGTGCATATTATGATTACAACATAAAACAGAACAAGATAGGCGATGTAAGATATGACAACATATATTTATACGTTTCTAGTGTAGGGGCAAAGATAATTTTTCCTTTTATCCTCTGAAAGTTCAAGTCTTTAAGTCTGCTAAAATAAACTCACAATAGATTAATGGAAGAAAAGCATGCACATTTATTAATGTGCAAGTGCATGGGAGTCACACAAAGTAAGAATCTCAAAGAAGGGCCAGATGGTTGAAGCTTAATTACCTACCCTCTTCATAGGGAGAGAGAAATGGGGGATGTTGGCAATTTTGGAAGAATAGTGAATAATTTTCAAGGGAGATGAATGGGCCCAAGAGCAGACAATAGCCAGGAACAAAGTTCCTCTGGGCTCCAGGAGAGGGTGGTGACAAGTTGTGGGAAGGTGAGGGGCAGAACAACACTGTGAACAAAGGTGGTCTTTTATGCAAATAAAGTCTCTAAGATAACAGCTCTTAGAAGAATAGATGAAAAGTCTGTCCAGCAGGCATGGTAGTGATTTTTAGTTTCTTCTTTTGTGATTCATCTTTCCTGGCTAATGAGATTTCAGACAGGGGATTTAAGGCAATTATTTTTCATTTGGAAGGATTTCCCTCAGTCAGATAAGGAAACTTCAGAGAAAGTCCCTCTCTTTGCTTTGGGAGGGAGAAACAAAGGAATGTCAGAGAGACATTGATTTTGAGGCAGCTTCTAAGGCCATCACAATTTTCATTAATTCAAAGTGCTCAGAATGCCAAAGCACCATAGTTTTGGGTATCGTTTCTCTGAGCCCCAACACCCCCTTGACTGTTAACATAGTGATATCTACATTGCCAAAGAGAGTTTGGTTCCCAATGGTCTGTGCTTGAACACCAAATGTATGAAAATGTGCTTCTGGTGATGGAGTAAGCTCTATGTTCAAGGGTTTCTAGTTCATGTTTATAGCATTTAGTTATTGATTTGCAACAAGCCACCCCCAAATACGACTCATAATAAACATTTTATTTAGACCCTGATTCTGTGGGAAAGTTGATAGTTGTGCTCTGAGCCAGCTTGGTTGATCTTTGCTAGACTTTTTTTAGCCTTCTGTAGCCTGTTTAGAGGTGTACAGGCAGCTAAAAATCTAGGATGAACATATCCACATGTCTAGCAATTGGCTGGTGCTCTGCTGAGCATCTTAGTTTTCCTCCTCGTGGCCTTTTCTTTTCTAGAAGGCTAGCTCAGCTGATTCCCATGATGGCCTCAGGGTTCCAACTGGAGAAAGAAAAGACAAGACTCGAAGCACAGAACATTTATTCTAGGGAAATAGTTGCTTTAGTTTCATTCCTTAAGTCAAATTGCCACCCTCAGCTTTGAAAAGAGGAGAAATGGCCTCCATGGCCATTTTTATAACCTGTCATTACCGCCTGTTGGATATAATTGAGAACAGGTTTATGTTCTTCTCCTCCAATGTAAAAAAAAAAAGTTGAAAGTCCCTTTCTATCACATGACAAGAATTAAAGTTTGAAACATCTCTGATGGGAACCAACATACATGATTTGTGTTTGCCTATGAGATGAAAATATATGGAGGAAACCAGCATGTTCTTATCTGGTATCTCTTTGGGAACACTAATTCATTGTAAAGTTAAGATTATTTGAATTTAAATGAATAAAATTTAAAGACCAGGAAAAGAAACTATGAGTCACGGCACTTACTAAAAACCTAATATTTAATAATTGAATAATTTCCTTTAATAATAATAATTTAGTTATTTCCTTTAATAATTTCCTCTTTGGAAAATAGAAAGTTTAATATTATTGCATTTGTCTATTCAGGCAATAAATAATTGTAAGAAATCTTTAAGGAGAACTAGATGCCAATAATTTGTACCAACTCATACTCATCATTTTATAAATCTTTTTGTCCAACCTGCCCTCCTCAACAAAATTTGTCTTTTAATTATTATTAACATGAGACAAAGATGATTAATATTAACCACTGAAATATAAGCTCTAGGAAGGCAAAGAGTTTTACTATGTTGTTTACTACTGTATTCTAGGTACCCAGAACACTGCCCACACCTTATAGATAATCAAAAAATTACTTCTTGAATCCTTCAGAGTAAGCTATATTTTATTATTCAAAGCAGATTTCTATTTTTTCTTCCTGATGACAAATGACAATAATAATTCATTCAATAGAATCTCAGTGTGAGGACTAACCACTGGGATTCAATGAAGGGAAATCACAAGACTCAAAATAGGACCAGGCAAAAGAGAAAAAGGCTGCCTTGAACTAGTATTTTGTAAGAAATGAATGTGGAGATGTATAGTGAGGGTGAATTCAAGAAAAAAAAAAAAGCACACAGGGAGATACCAAAATAATGGGAGAGATTTGTGTGATAGATACTGAGCTATTTTCTTTTGGAAAGAAAATGTGCTTAATAATTCAGAATTATTTATCAATGACCTTTCCTTTCCTGTTTATTTTTTTTTTTTACTTTCCCTTTTATTTTTGTTTCATTTTAACAGATCCGTGGTGGAAAACTGATGATCTCCAATACTAGAAAAAGTGATGCAGGGATGTATACCTGTGTTGGCACTAACATGGTGGGAGAAAGAGATAGTGATCCAGCCGAGCTGACTGTCTTTGGTAAAACTCTCTTTTAAATTACACATTGTTATTTATAACCATTTTTCCTTTGCTTTTAAATATTGTTATTAACACTGAAAGCCAGGCCTTACATGGACAATTACTCATGACTTGTGATAAGCAGTGATAGATTAGAATTGTCTTGTTTTCTGTCTTTCTGATAAAATCTTTGATGTGAAGAAAAACATTTTTGAAACATTAGATTACCTACTTTATTCATGTATTTATAGGATTTGCCTTTCATCAAAATGTAAAAAACAGCTCTTTCTCAAAGTCCATGTAAAATATTACATCTGTCTAAAGTTACTCACTTATTCCACTATGATGCATTTATCCGGGATCTGTTATGTGCAAAACAGGATAAGGTTTTATAGAAATAGAGAGTGTAGTGAAAAAAATTTGTTTTCCAATTTTAAAATTTCAAAGTGAGGTATTTATAGTTTTAGCACATGATAGAAAGACTATCTATGCACACATGTAAAAGTATAAAGACTAAAAAAAGACCCATAAACTATTTTGTTATAATATTCACCTTATTTCAACTTTAAGAACTAAAGGACTCTTTAGCTGGAGCAATTCAATTACAAGGTAAAAAACTATATCACAGAAATTGTGTAGAATGCATTAAGAAGGAGAAAATTGGGGACAGCAAAGATGGCTAAATAAAAGTGAGGAAATTACTGCGCAACTGAAGAAGATTGAAAGAAAAATAAAATGACAGAAAACTGGGGAAAATGAATCTTAAAGATGCTGAAGATGTAATATTCCTTTAGAATACCTTGAAGTCCCACTGAAGTTTCTGTATGGAAACACACACACATGTCTATGTATGTATATGTATGTACATATACATATGTCTTAAAAGATTTTACTAATGCAGATATTATGTGGTTTTTAAAGGTATATGAGCTCATTGTGATTTTAAATTATTTTTCTGTGCCAATAAAAACAATTCTCTACTTGTATGCATAATAAGATCCCTATTTCTGGTCTTGGGACACAAGTGCAGCACCAAAGTCCTGCATAGGTCCCTAAAGAAAATTCTTTTACAGTTTGGGAGCTGCCATCCCATTGTGTAAGGAGAATGCCAGGATGGAAAGATTCGTATTATGATTTCCATTACATTTTGAGAGTAAGGTTGTGCTTTATGAATATGTACCAGAGTGTGAGCCACTCTTTTCAATCACTCTGAGTACCGAATAATCTCTGGTAATACTCCCTGTGGATAATAAGCACTTGAAGTCCCAAATGACAAAGCCAGGAGAAATCCCATAATTCATTAAAGGAATTGAATAGTAAAAATGAAAGTGTTCAAAGTATACATGTATATTTCTATCCTGCAGAGCTCAGACAAGTGTCAGTTTGCCCCTAAATTTCAAGCAGTCATCTAAAAGAGTCTCAACATGTGCTCCACTCTGTAATGAATAAAATACAGTTTTGCCTAGTAAGATATGAAATTAGTGGTCACTAAACATTAGTATTGAAAGCCCACAAGTACAGCTCTTCTATTTAAAGAAGCACTCATTGCTATTTTTCTGTAACTACCAAAAGCTTTGGAATAGAAAAATGTGGCATTACTGCAGTATAGACTGCCTTCAGAAGGAAATTGAAAGGGTTTAAAGTCATTATCCAAGCAATTAGACTTACCAATAATGAGGCCGTGTTATGAAATATTTACCCTACTTTCCCTAAAGACATGATGAAATCTACTGGGGATCCCTAAACATGTCAAGAGTTGTGGGAGAACGTCTAAATTATTTTGAAAATACCTATCAACCAAAGAGATTAAATTTGTCTAGAGGCAGTTCCTTTGGAAGAATTGATTTAGGAAGCTGAGAAAGGTTTATCTGATGGTGTAAACTAGTCAGAACTGACCCAAGGGCTTATAAGTACAACATTAAGTTGAGGGAAAAACTAAAATTCCATTATTGATAAGAAAACAACATCCAAACCCAGAAGAAAAACCACAAGTGATGGCCCAAATCAAGGATGTGATAAGTATTGCCCGAGAGATCCTTTGTATACCTTGATTTTCCATTCTTAGAGAACATAAAATAAAGTGTGACATTTATAGTGAGGCCTTCTTTATTTTATTTTTTGTGCTGTTACATCCAGTACATGTTTTCCAATAAACTTCTTTATATTTCATCATTGTTAGATATTATCATTTCTGAGCTAATGTTTATAAAAGTAGAACTGATTTCATTTCTACCTCTCTCCATTTTATTTCCATGGAATAGCAATTCTACTTTAATAAATCTGGCTACAATAACCATTTTGTAGCTAAAGAAGGTTTTTAATGTGCCTTGCAACTCAATCTTTACTTAAGATATCTTATACAGAAAAAGTAATTGATGATATTTAATTGTTCAAAAATATAATTCACTTATAAATGGTGAGAAAAAATAATGAAAAGAATAAAGGTTCTTTTCTAATACAATAAGTATCTGTTTTCTGAGACATATTGCTGGGGAAAAAATATTCTCAATTTTTCCAATGTTTTGATTCTTTAGTAAATGGGCTTGTACTTTGAAGTTTTATAGTTTGAAAATTCAACTTATGTTTTAAAAATGTGCCCTTCTGACAAAGACGTGACCAGTAGAAACTAATTTTCAAAAAGTTACTTTGTCACACCTTATGTATTATATATTCTCATTCATGTTCTGTAATATTTTATGGCCATGAAATAACATCTCATTTAAGTGAGTAGTATCAAATATAAAAATTAGACATAGGTATCATAGTTTAAAATGGCACTAAAATCTATGGCACAGTCTAAATGTTTTCATGAAGAACATACCCTAGGAATTTACGGATGTTAAGTACTAAAGATCCTAAAGGTAGACAAACTAAAATTGAAGTACACAATTACATTTCTAATGAGTACATTTCAGATGTCTGCTATTAAAAATGTAGCTGTCTTTTTTTAAACAACTGAAAGATACGTGGATTTTCTCAAATGATTTTTAAATGTTTATTAAAGTAACACATGAAAACAGAGTTTATGTGAAACATTAGTAATGTTTAAGTATTACCAAATTTAAGATGAAATACAGAAATATCTTGCCCCATACCTCCCCAAACACACACACACACACACACACACACTCTCTCTCTCTTTCTCACACTCACGTGTCATGCCTGTGCACAAATTTCTCACCTTTAATTTTCCTAAAAGTCTGTTTTAATTTTTTATTCTGGGACTTATTTCCATGTTTCTGAATAGGTACTTATTCTGCTAATTATTGATATATCAATTTTATACATTATTTGGCTTCTTATTTTGGAAGATAATGCTTTGGCCCACTTATATCCCCTTCAACATCTTCTTATCTCACTTCCCCTTCTTTTTCTCCTTCCAGTATACTAACCTTAGAAACATTGGCTATATTGATATTTAGAATTTGAATTATTATAACCATGTAAATATTGTGAACTATGAGCTGAGTGTTATATTACGACTGCATTTCTTTGTTCTTTGAATTAATAATAAATCCATTTTCCCCAATTTACTTATGTTTTTCTAAACCTGTCACGAATTCTTGAAATCTGTAACAGAAGTTTTTAAATATTCTAAAACTTATTTCATAATTTTATTTAATTAATTAATTAATTTAATTTTTTAGAAATGGGGTCTTGATCTGTCACTCAAGCTTAAGTTCAGTGGCCTAAACATTGCTCTCTGTAGCCTCAAACTCCTGGGCTCAAGAGATCCACCACGTTAGCCTCTTGAGTATTTATAAAACCTATTATTTATACTTTAGTTATTAAGTTTCCCCTCACTATAGTCTTCCTGGAAACCACAGACCTCCTGTCCAATCTGGCTGGGTAGATGTTATTTAGGTCTGTCCCATAAACTGTTTATGTTTTTCTTTACTCTGATGATGGCTTTGTTTTCTACATCTTATATTTGTTTTTTTCTTGTTTAACCACTCTATTCAGAAGTGATTCTCAACTGCTTTCTGCTTGACTAGAGCGTGGAGCAGATTCCAAACTTAAACGCCTTTATTCTATCTAACACTTAAATAGAAATCAGTTTAGAAATATGTTTTAGTTATAGATTCAAGTTTAAAAATATTGCTCAGAATATTCAATATCATGTAGCTTCTGATGCTGCTCTTGAAAATCTTCTATGATTATGATTCCTATGGCTTTGTATGTGATCAGTTTTCTTTTCTTTCTCTCTCTTCCCAAATGTTCAGTACTATCTCTTTAGCCCAGTGTTCTGAAATGTTTCAATACTATGTGTTGGTTTCACACTTTTTTCTTTCCCTGGGTTGATGAGCAATCTCAATCTGAAAACTCTCTATCAAAACAGTTCAATGACATTTTCTCTCTATTTTCTCTATTCCTTTTCTCTGTCAAACATTATTTATTAGTTAGATATTCAACCTTCTAGGTCTTTCTTTTCTCTAATTCTTCCTTATTTATACAATCCTGTTCTTGTTTCATGGGTGTTATAATTTCTCTGTGTGACAGCATTTTAACAACAGGTTGTTTTTTGTTGTTTTCTTTTTTTTTTTTAATTTCAAAATATTATGAAGGTACAAATGTTTTTGCTTACATTTCCTAATTTTCTTATGCAAGAGTCAGGGGTATAAGTGTGCCCATCATCCAGATAATGTTCATTTTACCCGTTAGGTAGGTTTTTACCTATTCCATCCTAACTCCTTCCCCTTGTTTGATTTCCACTGAGTTTTACTTCCCTCTGTGCACATGTGTGCTCATTGGTTAGTTTCAGTTTAATAGCAAGTACATGTGGTGTTTGTTTTTCAATTAGACGATTCACTTAGAATAATGGTTTCTACTTCCACCCAAATTGTTGGAAAAGACCTTAACTTATCCTTTTTCATGGGACAATAGTATTCTATGGTATACATATACCACAATTTGTTAATCCACTCATAAACTTATGGGCACTTGGGTTGATTCCACATCTTTGCAATTGTGATCTGTGCTACAATAAACATTAGACTGCAGATGTCTTTTTGATAAAATGA